TAATCAACTCAATCTAATCCAAACCTACTCTCAACTAAATAATGGCTGCCTTGTCGGAAAGGTTGAATAATATCCCTTTGAGAAAGATAAAGGCACTGATGAACCCCATACAGAGGAGAATCAAGGCTGTGACAGATGCGCGAGGGAGGCATAGGAGATAATGATTATTTTTTTTTCACTTTTGAAGGTTATATTCATATGAGTTTCGATAACTCATGAAATATCAGTCAAAATCAAATGAAATTTTGGTAACTTGTTGAATAAAGATATCTTTAAAGTCATCATTTCGTGTGTTCTATGGTCGATACAACAACACTGTCAACAAATACAATCTATCATTAAGTCAAATGCTGACTGACGTTTTTCATACAATCTGTTAGGCCATTATTTACACACTGAATTGTCGACGAATTTTTCCGTTATTTCCCGATCATGACAAGGAGCACACGGCGGGTGTGACCGGTCGGAAGGGGATGCTCACTCCTCCATGGCACCTGATCCCACCTCTGTTTTAGAGGTCCGTGTTTGTTCTGTTCCTATTCTGTAATTTTTAATGGACTTTTGACCTCGAATACTGTTCGTTATCTCCACATATTTCATTTTTAAATGTTAGAAATCACAACTGGAAAATACATCCGGAAAAAATTAAATCACTTCACAATTTTCTTTTCCTTTTTAGTATATATGGGTGATTTTTTTTTTAATGTTATCTATTAAAATAGTTTAAACCTCCATAATTGGAAATTTACATTCACTCGATCATTCAACAGAGCAATATGGAACTCATTTGTTCAAAAGTAGTTTGAAATATCGGTAGTAAAATCTTCGTAGAAAAAATGGTTAAAATACAATTATGACAGTAATCAAAAAGGAATTACATAACCCATTCTCGAAAAATATATAAAACCTTCCTCCCGAATGGTTGTTCTAAGTTAGAGAGCTGAATAAGGATCTTAGACTGCGTTCCCGCCTACAGCACCCCGAGTCACTGATTTTCACAAGAGCTCACATTATTGGTAACTACAGTGTGACTGGTCGACAGGGGATGCTTACTCCTCCATGGCACACGATCCCATATTATTGATAACTACGATGTCATCACGACAAATAAAAGTCATCTTTGTTCCATTTTTTTATCAGGCTGCCGTTTGCCCGATCATGACAAGGAGCACACGGCGGGTGTGACTGATCGACAGGGGATGCTTACTCCTCCATGGCATATGATCCCACCTCAGATGATTTTTAGAGGTCTGTGTTTGCTCTGCTCCAGATTTGTATTGTTTCAATAGACTTTTATGTTTGATTGCTGTTCGTTATCATCACCTTTCTTTTTCATAATTTGGTAAATAAACCGTGCAAAGAAAGAATACTAAAATGTTTGGATGCCTTATATTTTTTCGTTCCATGGTATATTCACCTTAACATTTGTATTTATCAATATTTTAGCAATGTTCACTTAAATGTGTCAGTTTCACAATTGTTATATTTAATGTGTGTTATTCTTCTGTTCATTGATCATGCATACAGAACATTGAAATGAAATGACAACATTATTTTTTCTTAATTAAAGGACGATGAATTCTTTTATATTTCAGCTGTTAGTTATTAAAAAAAAATCATTATAAGGTGCAGTTGTAATGCGTCCTTGAATTCACAAAATTTGCATAGAAATTATCACCATGCATGCATAGGAATTGAAAGATATAGAGCAGGCACGTGGCATCGAAGAAAGAGTGGGCAGATTCCTTGTCCCATTTTGGATACGATAACATGGAAGGGTGTTACATAACATAATAACTTGAGAGGCCAAGAGAGCCTTTCAATTAAAAATTCCATGCTTAATTAATAGCAAAAGACCATATTGGGGAGGACGGGCAGCCACCACCACCTTCAACCTACTACACGTTTGTAGAGTATTGCATTTTTTTTACTTGGCTAGCTTATCAACTTTGTCCACTTGTACAAAAGCACCTGGAATAAAAAAGGAGTCCAATTGTTTTTCTTAAAAATGTGTATGTGATTTAGTTTTTAGTTCATTCAAACTTGGAGTGCATAATGTGATAAAAAAAAAAAAACACTCACTGAAATACCAGTACTCAAAAATTAGTATATGGAGATGTATCAAAATAGAGTAAAACTGGTTCCAAAGAAATAGGCCTGATAAGACGATATTTTGGATTAGAGAATATTTAAAACAACTGAATTAAAGTACAATACCATGGATCTACAACAGACATGTATATAGACCTGAAAAAGACCAATGTGTATTTAAAAGAAGCATAAATGTTAAAATTCAGGACATCAACGTTAACTCTACACAGATTTAAAAAATGCCCATAGTTTTTCCTCTTAACAGTTTTCCAGTTGTAGTAACCCAATGGTAAGGAGCTTGCTTCGTTTTTGTATAGTCCAAATAAGATTTCGCTCCCGGCGACGACAGGTCTAAGACCATAACAAGAGGACCATGGGCCACGACTCACCTGAGTCAATATTTTTTCTCTTATATATACCTATATTAAACTTTGATCCCGTATTGTAGCCCCATCGCACCCTCAAGATGTTTAAAGATTTTTTTTTTAGAATTCATATATTCTTTTGTAAAAATTTTTGACATTTCATGTCAGATTACGTCTTTACGTGATTGAAAACTTTAAGCAACACACAGTCCACCAGTCATAGCAATTCCTAAAATATTTTTTTCTTCTTAACTCATTTTATGGGGCATGTCTACTGAGACGACGCTATGTAATAGTAGGTCGTCATCGGAATTATTGAAAGAACAATCCCCTCTGTATATATCGACTTCTGAGTTTTGCTTTGATGCTTTTTTATTTCCATTTTTCATGCAAAGTCTTTCTTTTCAGTAATTTAAAGCTATTTGACAATTTTATACATGAAGTTTACATAAATATAAATATTTTTAAAAAATTAATAATGTATGAATTTCAGTTATGATCCTCTTGGGGGAAACTTTGTTTTTCCTCTAATAAGTTTATTAAATTCTGAATACTAAAGAGCAATTATTATTATGAGTTATCGTCAGATGTTGAACCCCTGCAATTTGTAAACTTAATGACTTTAACTTTTGCACCATTAACTTCCCGAATTTATGAAGCAATATATTATTATAACATGGATGTGGAGTAAATGTCTCCCAGAGGATTTTATATACATTGTATACACTAAAGCACATATTTCGTACAAACTATTTCTTTTAAGAGACAGGCTACTGTTAAAGATAAATTAAATATACAAGGTTTTCCATATCTCGTTTAAAGTCAATTTTCGCAAACTTAATGATCGATACAATGACCTTGTTTGCGAATACAATCTATCGTTAGGTCGAATGTGACTGATATCTTTCATACAAATTGTTAGGTCATTATTTTCTCACTGAATTTTTTACCGATTTTTCTGCTTATCTTATGTTTATAAAGGGAACAGGACGGTTGTGTCCGGTCTGCAAGGAATGCTTACTCCTCCATGGCACCTGATTCCACCTCTGATGTTGTCAGAGATCCATGTACGTTCTGCTCATTATTTGATTTGTTTCCTTGGACCTATAAACATGATCAATGTTCGTTTTCTTCACATTTCACCCATGTTCGTCTACATGTACTATACAATTAATTACCCCTTATGAGGTCAACATGGTGAAATAAGGACCCTCGCAGGTGTGTTAAGGCGGATTTAGACTTTTTTCGTAAAATGTAACATTGATAAATCGGAAAAGCCATAGATAAAACATTTACTTTTATTATCAATTGTATAGACGTCATTGAGTCTTAGGCTAAATGAAGCACTCCACCACGACGTCATCACGTAACGTCTATAAATGGAAAAATTGCCTTAATGGAAAAGTGAAAAGTTCAACACTACCCCGGAGATAATTCATTTCTTTGAGTGAAAATGATTATGTAAAAACATCACTGGGTCATGAAAAGTGCTGCTAGAATCCTACTCTCCCGACACAGAAAAAAATATTCCAAAGTTTCGCATGAAACCTTACCAAAATTTTTTACATTTTATACATACGACCAAGGAATTTTTATTAATTCATGTTAACCATACGATTCTAGCAGCACTTCCCAAATACTATTGAATATAAACTTTCGATACAAACAAAAATTATGTTTCAAAGTATGGGGCGTAGTGTTGAACTTTTGCATCTTTGTTGTTATAGAACGACAGAGGAAAGGCTGATCAGGATTTCAAAGCACTGCCTGTGTTCTTTATAAGAAAACATGATAAGAATATATCAGCGTACCTGATTCTTAATCTTTAATTCCTTATGAATCACACATAACATTCACGGTATATGCTTTAAAACTCCCATTTCATATATTTGTTTACATGAATTCTCGTCACCTTTAATTTCACTCGGCAAATATTTGATCAATAGTTATGACGTCATGGGTTTGGTATTTAACCCCCGTGCTAAATAATTAGCTATTTATAGCACCCAAAAACGACAAGATTTAGTTTTTATTATGTTTTGAATGATTCCATTCATTTCTTTAACCTGAAATTAAACTTTAAATATAGATATTAAGAAATCATTATTTCTTAAGTTCACGTCATACAGCTTACTATGACGTCATATTGTAAAGGCAAGTAGGATATCTCTGGGTGTAGCCTTAACATACCCGCGCTCAACCTGGCCCACGAGATGACCTGACCTGACTGAGGCCGCGTAGCGGCCGAGGTCAGGTCAGGTCAGCGAGTGGGCCAGGTCGAGGGTCCTTATTTCACCATGTTGAACTCATAAGGGGTAATCAATTGTTTTATTATACCGATATAAGTTAAGACAATTTTTGTAGGCTTAATGGCATACTAAAATAATCAATTGTGTATTAGACGTACGAACTGTTATTATCAGTGTTTCATCGGGATCGTGATTCGCTAGTGAAGTTGTTTACTTTTCGCCTGCAAGTCTTGCAAGTTTTATTAAAACACTTTGTGATTGTCAGTAACATGCATTTTTATAAATTCACAAATACCATTTCCGAGTACAATGACAATCTGGTGCAGACTTTTACTGAACAAAAGAGCCAAGTCTGCATTGGTTGAATTTGACATTGTAACGAAAGTTTCAATGAAAACGATAAATTTTATGACGCATCTAAAGGACAATCGTATTCCGTATCATAAAAAGACTATACATATTTTTATAACGGCATTTTTTGTAATGAACAGTCATTACTGTATGCATTAATTTTTAAATTTGAATGGAATTTAGATTAACAGGTCATTTTTAGCGGTCATTATTTATAATGTCCGGGATTCGGTTGTATCAACGGTTTATTAACTTTAATGAGTTATTAAGCCTAATGAATCATTAACTTCCTAATGATGCATTAGTTAATGAAGGCATTAAAACGTGTTGTACAAAACCTTTATTAGAGTCTTATTAGTTAATGATTCATTAAATATTTAAGAATTCATTAAAGATTTATTAACATTAGGGTAATATCCCGCAATGCAATGCGTTTCCACTTCCGGGGGCGTTTCCGTGGGCGTTTCCTTTGTTTAACATATACACGTACCAATTATTTAATAAATGAGCTTATAAGACCAATTAAAAGTCCGCCAAAATGGTCGCGGTTTTTAATTATGACGCAAAAAAAAATAAATTACGTCATTTTATGAAGTCTGTGAGCGTCTTGAAGGTAATAACATAAAGAAACGTAATTTCATAAAAAAAATTGTGCTACAATGACCGAAGGAATTCAATTTAAATGTAATAGAAATCGGGGGAAAAATTTTGATTCTAGTGAAATTCAACTTTTAGCCGAACTGGTGGAGAGAAATATTAACATCATTAATAGCAAACTAACCAATAGTGTTACCAATGAGAAAAAGAAAAAAGTATGGGATAATATCACAGCGCAAATAAATGCGTTAGGAGTTTCAAGTCGCACTACTAAAGAGATTAAAACCAAATGGACCAATATGCATCAGACGGCAAAAAAGGAATTCAGCTACAACAAACTTTCACAGAGACAAACAGGGGGAGGACCCTGCGCAAAACCTCTTTCGACAGTCAGCGAAAAGATCGTTGATATCTACAAAGATTCTCCAACTTTTAATGGATTATCCGGATTCGAGACTCAGGCACCTGGTAAGTTAAAGTTCTCAATTTGCAAGAAATATAAAATACAAATTACTTATATTAAATATTATATGGACCAGATACAAGGATTGATAAATAAGGGTTTGATTTTTTTTAAATTTTTTGGGGGGGGGGGGGGGTATATAAGTTCATCGGAATCAAGTTGCAAAATCATCTATATGTCATAAGAAATATTGTGTAAAGTAATAGTAAACATGTATCGGTAATATAAATCTGCGAAGAGGTTCTGAAAGGGTCAGGCAGTATAGACAAACAAATTGGAGTAGTTTTCTCCCTTTGCTTACAGTAGTTTTCACAGGTGTGCAAATGACAACGATTGACTTGATTAGAATTGGTAAGAGCAAAAATTAATTTATGCGGGCATCAAATTCATTTTTACTCCCATTATAATTCAATTAATTTGTTTTGTTGAATTAAAATTTAGAACGCAAATCTAACATGAAGTTGGGGAGGGGGGGGGGGCTGTTTGAGCGTCTTTTCTTCGCTTCTCAAGCTTCATATATACATGTATGACTCCTCCAAAGAACTTCAAAGGTGTCTGGAAACCCCCCCCCCCCAGGTCTGCGCATGGCAATGAGGGTGGTTTGAAATGATGTCAATCTAAAACCTTTATGGTATACTGTAGTACTAGTATTATCTCTTTTCTTTTTTTACTTGTAACCAAAGATGAAAGCAACATCAATTTGATTGGCTCGCCAAATACCGTCTCAATTCTTACTGATCTGCTGATTCCACTTGACCACCAGCAAAATGAATTAAAACTTCAGCCAGAACAAGTCACACCAATCCAGGAGACTCATTGCTCGCCCGATCAGATGGTGGAAGAAATAACCAGCATAGAAAATAAAACTAGTACTGCAGCCACAAGCATGGAGACATGTGTGGAGTCAAGCATGTAATAAAACTTAGAAAATTAGTAATTTAAATGAACAGTTCAACCGTAGAAAATACAATAACTTGCTCACCATTTCATGGTTTAATCATAAAATTACCCAAAATTTATTATTTTTTTTTAATTTTATTTTTTCAAATGTACATTATAATGCATAGACGTGTATCAGTATATGAACTAGTACATAATAGATTTATTTAGTTTGGTAAGATCTTCATAAGCTACTCTTAATCATAAAAAGGTAATTTTACATACATACGTTAACGCTGAATTTCAATCCCGCATGCACAATCACAACTGTAAAAGTTTACCCTTTTGCATTGTAGGTCAAAAAAAGTGGGAACTCCAAATGATCGAGGTCAACGTAAAAGAATAAGGCCCGAAGATGTTACAAGAATGCAGTACGAAGTTTTGGTAGAACAGAAGAAAAAGATACAGGAGCAAACAATTTATTACCAATTAATGAATAAAAAATTGCGATTGGAGTTAAATTTATCCAATGAAGATTAATAAATATATGAATCATGTTATCAAATAGTTCTTTTTTTTTTTTAAAGAATTCTAAGCATCAATTTCATAAATTAACTGAAGACTTCGTGTTCATGTTCATGTATTTTCCCGATTTAGTGCGCGATCGACAGTGATTTCTTTCAATCAGTACATCGTAGGCTTTGAACATTTTTCCTGGTTGTATATGGCTAGACTACTACCCTGTGTTGAAAATGATATAAAAATAAAACTCAGTATTTACACCTTTATACGATATAATATTCTTGGTGTCCAAAAACATTATTATCAGTGTATAGTCTAGAGGGTCCTTAACTTGTTCTGTAGTGAAGGTTCTTCAAATTTTAAAATCCTGTTTAAAATTCTGTTTAGAGAGATAAAATTTACGTCAGTAGAATGGGAGTATTTAGCCAATGAAGTACTGTCCTATCTAGAAATAATGTTGTGTGATGTAATTCCTGATGTTCTTTCCATCCTCGGGTCCATTGTAATTTCCTTGTATATTTCCATTAACAGTTATATCTTCATCCATCGGTGGCTCGTTGTACATTATAGCCAGGTTATGCAAAACTGCACAAGCACCTAAAGTGTAGTTATGGAAACAAATGCATACATAAATTGTAAAGTTTTTAATTTTTTGATTTAAACTTCATTGTCAAACTATATTTAAACGCATTTCATATAAGATTATGATGTACATGTAATCTTATTCGTCTGTCAATTTTTCTCTCTGTCACAAATACACTTATACTATAACATAAACTTTAATATGCTCATAACTTTTAAATGAAAGAGGATAAGGTTCAGTATTTCCAGGGTTTGACACTAAGGCACGTCCGACCGACTCAGTCTAGTAAATGAGTGGTCCGGTCGTGTAAAATGTACGTGAACTAGACCGATTGGTCGTGTTAATAAAATACCTGTTAAAACCCATTTCAGTCTTTCAAATAAATATTCAATAAACTTTTTAAAGAATTTTTCTTAATTTGTGCGATTGTAAACACAGATATCATTCTATAAAAAAAAATCTCTGTATGACACAATTGCTATTTTCAGCCACGGCTGTAATAGACAAGCCGCGGTAGAAACTAGCGTCCTTCAGTATCAATATGGTATAAAAAGTTACTGAAAAAATATATTCTGCAATTAATTTATTAATATTTAAGATGAAAAAATTATTAAAGTTCGTTGAATGATCTTTAAAGCTTACAATACTCGCATGTCTTGATAAACCCGACTCAATTGGCTAGTTTGAAACAATTTCAAAATTACCTCACGGTCAGGGCTAGTAAAAATTATGGGAAGTAGCCCGACTGGTCTAGTACTCATAAAAGTTAATGTCAAACCCTGAAACTTCACCTGTGCATACTTTGACCTTTGACTTATGATCTTTACTCTCTGAATTGCTTCCTTCTCTCTGTATCAGGCGCATGGTTAATTATAAATGACAGTATATTAACGAATTATATATTTACCAATAATTGTGCACACTCTCTCTGGCTTCATTCTGATTTCAGAATGAAGGACGTGGAACCGTCGTTTCCACCAGCCAAATGTCCTCTCAATGGTCACGCGTGTTTTAGAATGCGCTGTATTAAAGCGCTCCTCGGCCTGAGAGGAGGGTCGGAGGTATGGTGTCATAAGATATGGTTTACAGGCATACCCACTATCGCCCAATATGATGCCATCATTGATAGAGCGGAAGTCCCGCTCAATATCTTGCTTTATTCCACTCATGTTAAATATGTGGCTATCATGCGTGCTACCTGGCCATCTTGCCACGATGTTGGTAAATTTACCTGTATCAAAAAGGCACAATAACTACAAGTGCTAGGGCGGATCCATGAATTTTACTGTAAGGGGCAAGGGGTCGTGCTAAAAATGTCGAGTAAAAATAATATTGATCAGACAAAAAATAAAAAAGACTATCCAAACGCGAAACAGCTAGGAAGGGTTGCATACATCTTAACAAGGTACTCTCCATCATCTTTATCTGACCAACTCATGAGAGGTGCGCGTTTCCCAGGGAGGATTGGGGGGGGGGGTTATTCCAAGGTTATTTTGGGTTACTTTTACTGTACAATATGTTTCCGAAAAACTCACAATCATAACTGTATCATAATATGCTTCGGTTCTTAAAAAAGTACTCACTAATATTCAATTTTTATCCTATGTAATGATATTAAAACAATTTTTATATTATTATATAAATGCAATAACAAATAATCTCTCGCTAGCTTACGTAAAAAGAAGTATATATTTCATATCAAATCTCATTTTTACATACCAGCATTATCACAGATAGCTTGAACATTGATTGAGTGGTAACCTTTCCTATTCACAAATGCTGGTTCATTCTCTGACGGTCCTTGGATCCTCACATGAGTGCCGTCGATACAGCCTATAACACCTGGAAAGCCTGCTAATTTAAAAAAATCACTCTTGATGCTGGTTAGCTCCTCGTCTGTTGGCCATTTAATAAATCTGGGCGCAAGAGATACCAGTGCCTGCGACACTTTCAGAACGATTCGAGAGACTGTTGACTTG